TCAGTGAGATGTACTGCCAAGGAAGCAGAATTCAGTGACAGCTTGCAAGTTTTATTACCAGAAACAGTGTTTGGCTATGGAGAGTTTCCTTAAGTAAGCTGGCAAAAGATTGAGCTTTTTTGAGGCTGATTTTTCTGTTCACCTATTTTGTTGATTCTACAAGCCAATCTATGGTCATTTGTATTTAACAATTTGAAACTCTCAGAATGCCTTTGAAAGGTGAATCCTGGTCAAGATATTTCAATGTATTCCTGACAGAACTGCTTTAGGCAATACTGATATGTAAAGTCATGTTGACATTCACTGGGTTAAAGTTCTCTTTATCGCTGTCCACATATGGGTCTTGCTAAACCAAGTGTTCTTGAAAATTGGGCAAATTATCTATAGGCAAATGCATATTAGTAGTTAAAAATAAGTCTTCCCTATTAACTTAAAAAACATTTTGCCAGGATTCAATATTAATATATTAGAATGTTCAAATTAGTATGTTTGTTTGGAAGTAAATTAAACATTTCCTAAAAAGTACTATTGTACTTCAAATACTATTCTTACTTTTCTTATTCTCTATTTCTTATTCCAGCAGGGCACAGTATCGACAGTAGTATAAACATTTCTGCTCTTTTTTATGTGATTTTAGGAGAGTCACTTTATCTTGGTGTGGTAACCATGGAGGTGTCCTACTCAGATCTCCCCTCAAAAGTACCTCTTATGGAAAGCACAGATGACTGACGGCTATCAGTTGCCATACACTTGGAACTCATGTCAGCAATGGTTCTCTCAGGTTGCTTTTAACGTTTGAGCACAGTGAAAGTACTATATCCAGGTCTTGCCTGTCTACACAGCCTTAGGTGGCACTGCTAGCAGAATGCCTCTCCAGGCTTGGAATCCCACCCAGCAGAGCATCCACAGAAAATTCACTTCATAGAAAAGGAAGTACCCAAATTGTCTATGTCCATGAGATGTAATTGTTATATACTATACTATTTAGGTGAAACTCGCCTCATAAAGTACTATAAAGGCCTGTTGAAGTCAGAGATAATAATCTGCAAGGATGGTGGGCCATGCTTCAGGATATAACATGAGCACTACGTTAGAGATCTCCTTGGGGCATTGCGACGTTAGTAGGAATACGAAGATCTTGGAACAAAGGCATGGAAGTGAGAATGGGCCCTTTACACTTATTCCCAATGACCCAAAGGAGAACTTTGTGTTTTGCCTTCCAAATCTCTGGGCTGGGCAGAGTTAGAGATCTTGATATTCAAAGGTTTCCTCTATTGAAAGGGGGCAGTGCAATGATTAATTAAACTATAATTTATATATAGTTGTAGGACATTTTTGGTTCTTTGTACCCAGAGTCAGTATGCAGGGAAAATGATTATCAGGAGAATGATTACACATGAAGAACAAAGTAATATACATCGGGAACCCAGGTTATATACTTGACAGCCTCTTAGTATTTCTTTTCCTAAATGTACTTGTGAATAGATAAATGCAGAAACCCAGACTAAAAAGATGATGATGACCAAGGGTTACAACTCCTTATAAATGAATGCTTGGATTTTACTATCAGGTAAATCAACACAATTTGCTTAAGTGTTAGCTGAGAGTGAGGGGAATATGGAATAGATAGTGAAGACAGGACAACTACCAGTGTGGCCTGAGACCAACTGCAATAACAAGGACTATGGACTGTTCCATTGACCTTACTTTTCTAAGCTTATCCTTAGGAAGAAAGGTTTATAGGAATCATGGAGAAGTTAACTACAAACATATGAACAGGTTTGTAGTCTCTAACTTCTATACTACTGAATTTGCTTCCATCTGTGAACCCACACTAGGTACTTTTAAGAAATAAAGATAAAATATTATTGGTGCTTTTCTTGCACTGCTCTCAGGCAATGACTAAGCACAACAGAGATACTAAAACTGGCCATTCCTGCCCATTTTGAAATTCCTCTGACATACCACTTTGGTTTAGGGCTACCTATCAGTCTGGGCAAGATTTTCAGAACTGCATTGCAAACTGGAATTCTTATTGCTTACTCTTTCCTTTTCTTCCTTTAGTTTTCAACCTGCATCACAAATTTGAGTCTCTCTGCCTTCTGCTCCTTTTCCTGTTTTCCTTTCCAGACATTTTCTTCGATCAGTCTTTCACACATCTAATCCTGGCCGGCATCTGCTTCTTGAAGATGGCTAATGACACATGGGCTTTTTGCTGCTGCTGTTGTTAATTTTGGCAAAAGAAAATGATATCCACATTAGGTGATTGGAATGATTTAAGATCTCAACAGGAAAAGCAGAAAACAGCCTAACGTTTAGCTTCTGATATAACTTATTTTTGTTTCTTTTCTTTTCTTTTTTTTTGAGAAGGAGTCAAGAATTGCTCTGGTTTAATTCAGTTTAAATAAAAAAATCCCCACTTTTCCAAAAAAAAAAAAAAATTATGACTCTGAGGATAACTGATAGCTGGGTTAAGACCATTTCAATTTATTTTATTTTCAGAAATGCAAATATATCTATTGAACTATAATAAATTAAACCTAGTATGTGTATTGTGGCCCTGACTAGATATTTAGCATACAGCCTTCCATGGTAATTCTGAGAAGATACAGTGAGGAAATATAATAGTTTTTTAATGAGACAATACACGTAACAGTGTTATATTAAGCAACCAGTTAACATTTCATTAATTGATATAATTTATGTAAAATGTTTTCAAAGGGGAGAAGAGATATGGAGAGAAAAAAAAATTCAAAGGATAAAAAGAATCTGAAGGAAAGATACTTAAAACAAAGATCCTAAGAGGAAGCCTAGGAGCTGGGCAAAATGGGACACCATCAAGCTAAACATAGAGTGATTAAGAATGGCCTCAGCATTTTTTTCTAATATATAGTATATTATCTAATATACCTAGGATATACACACTGTAATGAATTTGTTGAGGATGTCTTTTAAAAACTTATAGAGCAGTTAACACAAACATAATCTTAAGGATGTGGTTTTAGAAAGAGAACCTCAGTATCTCCTCTCCCCATCTTTGTGTGAAAGTAAAGGAAACAATAATAGACAGAAAATACAATAGGAGTTTTGGGGATGTTCTAAATCTATTTCGTCAACATCATTCATCATGTTAACTATTATTAATTTCACACAATCTCCTAAAAAATGATGGGAAAAGGCCAGAGTAACCTTCCTGGGATTAAAATTACTCATATTAGCTTTTTGTGACCCTGGATAACCAGGCTTCATCCAATCCATCCAATTTATTTCCTCCTATCTCCAATACACCCTCTCAACTTGTCAGGCTGGTCTGCCCACTGCTGTCCAACATACCATATGTATTCCTGTCTTTCTGCCTTTGTCTGGTAGGTCCACCATCTCCTTCTGTTCAACTCTGCTCATCTTTCAAGCCCTATCCATACTCTAGCTTTCACCCTGTAGTTTAGTTTTTGGAGTTCTTACCATGTGCACCACCTAACGTGTTGCTTTCTTGTTGTTTGTTCAATATATTTTCTCTCTCCAACCAGGCTATAAACTACTCAAACACTTGACTCACTTTGCAAATATTCAGAATTGTGGAATTTTAAACTACATGATTTTAGAAGCTAAAACTGATATGCAAATTATTACTGCTATAGTCAACCATACCAAGTACTTGGAGCTAATGAAAACAGTATGTATAGTGACATTAAATGCCTACCTATGCACACTAAAGGATCCCAAGTTTCTTACATATACTATCTTATTTAGTTCATCATCCTTATAGTTTTCTTTTTCTAAAATCCCATGTCTCATTCGTTCAATTTTATTGGTTCTATCTTCAAAATAGAGGTGGAATCCTCTCACATCTCACCAAATCCAGAATCTTGACTCTAAGCCCCAGCATCCTCCTCCTGAATCATGGTTTCCTAATAGATGTGTTTTCAACATTGCACAATGTAACCTTTCCAAACTTTTAAGTCATGTCTCTATTCTAAAGCCTCTCAGGATCTACAAGGTCAGACATGATCTTCCCTTTTCTTTACTCTGACCTCTTCTCCCACTATGGCTGCTCAACCTACTCCAATTATACTCATCTACCTTGTTCTTCCATCATCACACAATGCACAATGCACAATGCACGTAGTGCATTAGATATAGTTTTTTCTTCGGCCTGGAACACACCTCCAGTTATATACACTGCTGTTTTCTTTTAAAACTTAGTTCAACTCACCTCCTCAATAAGGCTTACATTGATGCTCTATTTAATTCTGCATTTGCCCCTCTGTTTTGATTCTTCTCAATTTTTCTTTTTAGCACATCTCACTTAACATACTATTTCATTTTTTAACCATATACTATGTTTGCTTTCCCTACTTCCATATAAACTCCATGAGGGGAATGGTCTGTTTTACTTATGGATATATCCCAAGAACCTAAAACAGCCCTGGTACATGTAACACCCAATAAAATACTTGGTGAATTTATTTTGAAGCTAGATTTTCTTGCTGCAAGGCAACTGTTCTTTGGTTTAGAGCCTTACTTAGTTTCCCAGCTTCTGTGTTTGACAAAGAGCAATAACCAGAGATGGCCTAGTCATAGGGCTAGTCCTGGAATTTTAAATCACCACAACCCTGCACCTGAGGGGCTCAATTTTACACCCGGGCCTCACAGGTTAAGAGGACAGAGAAGATATAAGCCAAATAGCTAAAGTGTGTAGCTAGTTTCCTAGGGGTGGTTGAGGGAAGGATGGAAGGAAGGAAGGCAAACCTCCTCTCCTTCTTTCATCTCTTAAGCACATGTGACTTCGAACATCCTCTAACGGAAACATATCTAGTGCCACCTGGGTCCGAAGGTGCGGGACAGGCCTTGCCCTTCTCCCGGCAGCTTCAGTGCCCTCACTTAGGTGGTTATGCTGTGCCTAAACATTATTTTTTTGGGGGGGCCGGGCCGCGTCTGCTACAGAGCGGAGGCGCGGAGGCAGCATACTCTCAGCGCCCAGACGTCCCGCGAGCAGTAGAAGGGAGAGCAGCACGAGTCCGCGGACAGGCGGTGGAATGAACGCCCGCGTGAGGCCCTGGCCGTCACTCGAGCGGCAGCTGCGGCTCTGACCCCGCCCCTCCCGCCGCACGCACGCGCACTGCACCCAGCATGAGGGTCGTGGCCCTGATCAGGTAACCGGGCGTCGGAGCCGCTTCCCTCTTCCCCGTCTGCCTCTGGTTCCTTCCTGCAGCCTCTGGCGCCCACCGAGCCGGGGTCGGGGTCCGGTCGCGGTTCTGACCTCGGCGGCTCCTAGCACCTCAGGAAGAGGCGGAGCCTTCGGCCTGCTAGGTCCGGCTTTGGCTTGCGCTCCGCCTTTCCAGCGGTCACTGTCTCGGGTCCTGTGCCCACACACTCGGATTCACCTGGGGGAACTTAAAAAAAAAAAAGTCCTAACGCCTGGGTCCCACCGCCAGAGGCGCTGGTTTAATTACTCCAGAGTGGCCATCCGCGGATTTTTAAAAGCCGTACTGGCCTTGAAGTTATGAGGCCACTGCTTGATTCCACGTACTCAGTTAATTAACTCCTGCCCCTTTCTTCCCGGTTTTCTTTTTCTTCAATGATCCCCTTAAGTTCACCGATTCGCGGTGTCCTACCTTTCTCCCTAGGCTTTCTGGTTCCGCCCTGCCCTTTCCAGTAAGGTCACCTACTTGTATGGCTTACCTGAGCTAGGTGGATTGCTTATAGCATCCTCATGTTTCTGTCTTGGAGCTCAAGTACAGAGTGGGAATCTCTTCTCTCCTGATGGAAAAGGAATTGTGCCAGTTTTATGGTACATCTAGTTGCAGTTGCTTCGGATGCTCGTAGCTGCTCTAGTGATATGTTAAAATATACCAAAAGGAGTTTAAAGTACATGATAATCCATCATGTTTAGGTATATAGATAAATGAACCCAAACCAGCCCAGTTTACATGTCTCTTTACTCAATCTATAAATTGAGGCAAAAGGAAACATACTAGCAATATTACAAAAGGGAATTTAGGCTAATATTTGTTTTATGAGATTTGGATCTGAAATATACTGCAATGATACATTCAGAGATTTTGTAGATTTCATAACGTTTAATTCAATGCTCTACGTAATTGATAGTAGTTGACAAAATTGATCAATTAAAGACTCCAGATTCCAGTCCCTCTAGTGACTGAAACATTCCAATTTCTCCTACTTCAATGCCATTCTTAGAAAACTAGACTGTACTGTCACACTAATCATTGTTATTCAGTAAATTGCCCATGTGAAGGGAATGATTAAGGTGTAAACGTTGTGGGTTTCATTTGCTCTAGAGATATTAAGAATTAAAGTGGCCCAGGAAACGAACAATTCACATCCACAGTCATTTTTACAAAAGTCTAAGGATTAAAGTAATACACAACCTTAGACTTACTGGTGGGGAGAAGATCTGTGTAGTCTATCACACTAAATATTATGTAATGTACATATACTGTGTTTATAATAATTTACTAAAGAAAGCAATGTTGGAAAACTCTTGCTAAACTTTAATAGCTATACAAATGTTAGATATGCCATAAGAATGAATACAAAACCATATGTGTATATACATATGCTTATGAGATATATATACATATACCTATGTATTATTTATTATATATGTTATATATAATTAGGTATTAGATATATGCATTTAGATTTGAACATAGTGAATCTGCGATTTTGTTTGTGTGTGTATGGCTATATAACAGAGGTAGGATATGTGTGTGCATTTTAGGGAATAATTGAAACTGAGGTTGTTATGTTTCCTTAGACCATAGAACATTATATTCCTGATACATAAACAAGTGTCATCAGATTTTACAATTGAATAACACCTTGAGTATCATTTAAGCAGGCTGTTCTGTAATTTTATAATGAAGCATATAAACCCAAGCAGAATGAATAACTTAGCTTAGTATCTGTGAGTTGGAAACTAAATCTCCGGTCTGTAGGAATTCTCACTTAATATATACAGTCATGCCCAGGTATTTATGGGATATCGTTCCAGGTTCTCCATGGATACCAAAAATCTGCAAGCGCCGAACGCCTCAATGTTATATATAACCTATGAACTTCCAATCATCTTTAGATTACTTATAATACCTAACAGTGTAAATAGCTATCATACTATATTGCTTAGTGAATATTGATCAAAAAAGTGTACATGTTTAGTACAGAAGCAATTTTTCAAATATTTTCAATTGACTGAATCCATGGGTGTGGAACCCATAGAAATGGAGGGTTGACTGTACTTACATAATTCATGAAATTTTAAGAGTAAGATAGTCAGCATTTCCCAAAGTTGTTTGCCCTTGAACACTGTTTTGTTCTTTGACTGTGTATGTTAGGTGAGAAATCCTACAGAGCAGTTAACATTTGGTTGGATACTTGTGTTTTGTAGAACACAACTTGAGAAATAATACTTTGAAACCATACATAAAATGTTAGCATATTTTAAAATAAATTGTAAGGTTATGTTCTGATTGTGAATGCATACTTTTCAATCTTTTATATTTGATAGAATTAGTTTCTTTTTATTTGGGGAAATAGAGTTAGTGATATACAACAGGGGAAGTTTTGAAAGACCTACTTAGGTGAATATCTGAATCTGATGAGAGGGAGCAAGGGCTTTTTTATACTTTGTCTTTTGCACGCTCCCACTCCTTGAGAAGTTCTGAAATTAGTTGTATATATACAGTGGTAGCTGAAGTGCTCATAGTACTGATGTCTATTAGAATAATTCAGCATTTTGTGTTTCATCTCTATAGAATCTGAAATCATGTATTTAACATTTTGTCATGAAATTGGGACTTAGTTTTAACTTAAAGGGGTTTTGTTTAAGGAGTATATGTAATAAGTATTTAGCTAGGATGTAAGTTTTTAAGTGTTTTTATTTGTAAAGCACTTTTTATGTTAATGAAACCACTGTCACGAACCTAGGAGTTAACATACTTTATTTAGAATGCTCTTTGTTATAATGGTATAATTTTATAAGATCTCCTAAGTTGCAACCTTTGGTACTCAGATAAATTTGCTTATGATATGGAAATTAATGTGTGTCTTATTGCATTCTTGTTATGAAATAGTCCCTCATAAATTTGGAAAATCTGCATAAATAATGTGTTGTATTCTGATATCTAGCTATTCTATGTTGAATTATGGTCAGTAACCTGATAGTTTATATATGCTTTCTCTCCCTTTCTCTGTCTCTCACTCTCTTATTAATTTATTTTTTAGTGGTGGGAAAGACAGCTGTTACAATATGATGCAGTGCATTGCTGCTGGGCATCAGATTGTTGCTTTAGCAAATCTAAGACCCGATGAAAACCAAGGTAAGTTTATGATTTTATTAAGAAGTTCTCCAAGTGACTGAAACTCAGATTCAGAATTGCACTTTATTATATGCAGTAGACAGAGGGGAAAAAAAAGAACCAGTGAATACTTAGCCAGATAAGATGTTCAATTCTTCATAGAAATCATTGTTGTTACTTACATGTCCTTTAATCTTCATAACAACTCCTAGAAAGAGGCATTATTATTCTTACTTTTAGTAGATTGGAATACTGAAGCTTTTGAATTTAAGTCTGTTCAAAGTAAAATAGCTAGCATAAACTTTTCAGAGCTGAGACTTGAACCCTCTTACTTCAGAATACATGCCATTCCACTACACCTTATTTCCAAGTGTTGCAGGCAATATATAGATAGGTAAGATACAGTTTCATTTTGGCTTTCTTCCCCTTTTTTTCTTTCTTTTTATTCCCCCAATTAGAATTTTTTTAAAAATATATATGCTCACGAATTTGCTTTACTCTTTTGTTACATCTACATAATTAAACTGCTAAAATGTAAGGGAGAAAAGATTAGCACTGGCCTAATTTACAATTTTTGCTTTCCTATGTGTCTCTTCTAATAAGATGTTTTTATCATCCCCATACATAATATTTTTTCATACTCTATGCTTTTCATTTACTGTTGTTTTAGAATGAATTAAATGAGTAATATATGTGAAAACATTAATTATAGTTTCTGGTGTGAAGTAGGTATCCTGCAAATTTAGTTGAATGAGAATATTTCTTTTCTTCCCTTTTTTTCTTTTCCTCCCTTCAGTCCTCCTTACCTCCCATCTTTTCTTCCTTCTTTCCCTTTCTCCTGTGCCTTCTTCTCAGGGCTTCCAGTCTGTAGTATTTCTATTTTTATCTAATTTTATAGTTGTTTCTATTAATTTTCTCTTAGCCTTATAACCCCAAGTTAATTGATTATAATTTTTGAGAGGAGAGTTCATAACTTTCATCTTCCGTGGAATATTTCTTTGCAGTTGGGACAGGACTATGACCCTGGTCAGAGTTCACTCAAGAGTTTGTTGATGGACCAATGAATAATGAACACACTTGAATTAGCTCTGGGATAGAGAGCAGTTATTTCAGTCAGGTATTTGAATTTTCTTTTCTCCTGTGACCAAGACCCAAGTAATGTTGGAAGCAATGTGGAAAAATAGACATCAGAAGTTTTTTATAAAAAGAAGTAGAACATATTCTATAGAGAGTCAGGAGTTAATACACACTTTGAGGGTTCTCCATGAGAAATAGCTACTTTTTTTTTTTAAGTAGTGAGTTTTTTTTTTTTTTTTTTTTTTTTTAAATGCTCTTCTAATTCTAAAATCAAGAAAGAGAAAACTCTCTTAGGGTAATCAAGAACTGTACTGTAACCTATATCTTATAAAAGAAGAAAGTACATCTTTAAATTCAACCTGTTAGTGAAATGGAGGCATTTAGTTAGAATAGTGTTAGTGATTAAAAAAATTTCAATAATAAGAATTAAAATATTGTAAAGTAAAAAGCTGGAAAAATCAGCTGAAACTATCATAGAAGAGAACAGATTAATGTGGATTGGTAAATGAGAGAGTTTAGCCAATATTGATTTAAAGTTATCAGGAAGTTGGAATCATTGAATGATTCATTGAATGACTTCTCCCTGAAACGAGTTATAAAAGCAACTGCAGTAAGGAATGACTGCAGAATAGAGTTAGTTAAAAGGCATTCATGACATTGAATTTTTAATAGATAGTCTGAAAAGGCATTTATTTACATCCATGGGATGACATGCATTTGTCATAAAATTCACAAAACCATTTCTTTAAATTTTTAGTAGGAACTTTGTGGTGTTTTAATAGAGGTACTTCAGGCAACAGTGAAGCCTTTTGGTTTTATATGATGTCACACCCATTGTTGCTATGTAGCTTCCACTAATAAAAGTTACATTGTGGTTTGGACTAAATGAAACTTTAAAGAAAAATTATATTCTAGGTCTTTGAAGACAGTAAAATGTTTTAATTATAACAACATTAGGATATTTCTTGCTAAAAAGCTCAAATTTCTTTGAATAAATAAAAGGATAAATATATCTGTATCCCTTAACACTAATTAAGGGATACATTTAGAGATCCAGTCTAACTTTGAGAGATAGGCTAAAAGATTTTCAGGTCATTGGCTATCTATCTCTACTTTTTAGTGGGACTAGGAGGATTTCTAATAACCACATGAGTTCCATTCTGCAAGAAGCCAGTCTGATGTGTGGGTCAGAAACCTAACCTGGTGAGCCAAAGTGCAATGGCATATGATAACAGTTTTGATTGTTGAAAGAGTACTTAAAATATCATTCATTCCTTTTGATAGGATATTTCCACATTAAGTGGAAAACTGGATTTATTTGGTATATGTTCATACATACATACATGTATATCTGTCAAAGTAATTTTTTGTAACTTTTTTTAAACATACTGTGAATATTTTCTGTGTCACTAATATTATTTTACAACAGCATTTTCCTTAAGTCTTCTTGAACACAGATACCTCCATGAAATGTAAGATTTTTGTGGATAGATAAACTTAACAGATAGTTCACCCTCTTTCCCCTTATTAGAAGGCCTAAAAGAATATTATATGGGAAGAATTACAGAAGACATCTATTTAGCATTTTTTGTTCTCATATTTTACAAATTTATTTGACATGGAGTCTCTTTTTCCTCTAATAGCTATTGGTATATTATGGGATTTATATTTTACAGAACACTTTTTGGAAAATAGTTTTTAGAAAATATACTTATATTACTGGATGCCTAGTATTTTACTATATGAATAAACCATAATTTTCAATCTAGTATAAATAATGAGCTGATGAATATATTTATAGATAATCTTTGTGTATATTCAGTATTCCTTTTCTATAAACTTATGAGATCCCATCTATTCTAACATATTTCTATGTTCATTTATATCACCACCATAAGATCTGATGTGACTCATTGAATATTTTATGCATATTGTTGTTTGTGGAATCTTGTGACAACCAGTGATTGTGTTATTGAACAGTCTCAGTTGCCATGTTTCTGTACATACTTGCAACTATTCTGTCAATATTGAATTTGTATATGTTTTATTGAAGTACTGAATATAAAATACATCAAGAACATATAATTTTTTTTTGCAAATATTTGTCACCGATTAACTAAGTGGATATTTTATTAATAAAAATTTTTACTACATCTCTAATTTTGTGAATCACCTAGAATGATTTTTAAGAACGTTTATGTAATCAAAATTTGAATAAAGTAATCAAAATTTATTGGTTACATTGCTCTTTAAACATTGATGCATTTTGTTTTAAGATTTATATATAATTTTATTTGTAATCAGCAGTATAGATGATTATTAGCACTGGTATGAAATAAATACAGCTGTGGACAAATATGCAATTTTTTTTGGTACTAGAGTTTGAACCCAAGGGCATTCAACCACTGAGCGACATCCTCAGTGCTTTTTATTTTTAATATTGAAACAGGGTCTTGATAAGTTGCTTTGGGCCTTGCCAAGTTGGTGAGACTAGCCTCTGACTTGCAATCCTCCTGACTAAGCTTCCTGAGTTACTGAAATTATAGGCATTTGCCACTGCACTCAGCCAAATTTGCAATTTTTATATATAGTTTTGCCATAAATGCAGAGAGAGTCATTAAACTTTTAAGTCTGTTGACTACTCTTCAAGCAGTAAAACCTACATAGAATTTTAAATCCACTTTTTCAATTTGTTTTGCTGATTATTTCCATTTTAATTGTTTCAGTGGGATCTGATGAACTGGATAGCTACATGTATCAGACAGTGGGTCATCAAGCCATTGACTTGTATGCAGAAGCAATGGCTCTTCCCCTCTACCGCAGAACCATAAGAGGAAGGAGCTTGGTTATAGGACAAGTGTACACCAAATGTGAAGGTGATGAGGTTGAAGATCTCTATGAACTTTTGAAACTTGTTAAGGTATGCAGAATGAACTTTTACATTTTTTTCAATTTAGTGTGTAACTTTGTAAATTTAAATTGCTGAATTATTTAGTAGTAAATAATTTACAACTTAATAGCCCAACTCTTCTTTGAAAGGATCTTTTATCTTTTTCAGGATAGGAAAAAAATTATTACTATGCCTTTATACTAAAGGATATTTAAAAATGAAACTTTAGATATAGTCTGACATCCAGGCTTGTCAAATGATATTTAACTATTTTTTTTTCCTTAGGATATTGAAACCAATGGCTATTCAATTGTATTTTTAACAAATATCTTTAGAATGTCTACTATGTGCTCGGCTTATGGTGCAAAGCACTTGGGATAGGGCAATAAACAAATCAGACCAAGGCCTTTTCTGATGGATCATACTTTCTACTGGAAGACAGAAAATAAACAAATAACATGTTTTCTGTTGAAAAGTACTTTGAGAAAAATGAAGCAGAGTCAAGGAGATAGCAACTGATGGCAGGGCATGGCTGGGGAGTGGTACTATAGTTGATGATCAAGTAAGACCTTCCTCATAAGACAAAGTTTAAGTAAACCTAAAGCAAGTAGGAGACTGTGCCTTGCTTAAATCTGGTGGAAGAAGTTTGAATTAAATGTTTAAGTAATGTGTATCTGTTTGGCACTAATTAATTTCAGTAGACAAAATGTAGGAGAGAAGTATGAAGTGTGAGGCTCATGTATCTAATAAGGATTAATCTCAGTAATGTTAATTAATGGAGATGATTTTGTCTTGAGCAGTTATCTTTTCATTTTCATTGATAGCCAACTCTTCCAATACAGTTGAATGTTATTCTTAAATTTGAATTTTTATCCAGTCAGCTATAGTCAAATCATGTGAGGTATATTGATGATACAGGTATTTAGACCAATATTTCCTGGATATCTTAAAGTATTTTCATAAGGGAAAGGAAAAAAGATTTCTTGTTTGTTTCTCTACCAGGAGACACTGCAGTTTATTTTCTCATGCTTCAGATAAGTTCAGCCTTTTCAGAATTTTTATCATGAACCTGTGTTATGAAAATTTTCTAGTCTCAAATCACTATTTCATAACAACTTTAAATTTGATACCAATTAGAGCTTAATATTAATTTAGGATTTTGATTTGAAAAATATATGAAGCATTGAAATTCTTTTAAAGTTTGCTTGATTAAAGTGGTTCTTTTGTATATCAGAAATGTTTCATTTTTATTTAAAAAACTGATAGAAAAAACAATTCTGTAATTTATTATTTAACTATAGATAGGACAAGGAGTAGATGCTTTTCAAAGGAAATCATAGGGGAGATATATGTTAATTACAACATTTTGATTATCAAAGAAAGGTGTAGGAATAAGAGTCTGCTTTTAACAGGCATCTTTACAAAATGTACAATTATAATTTCAACAATGTTCTCTTTGAGATGTGAAATATTGAGTGCAAATCCTGCACTTTCAAAATCTCTTTTTCAGGGTACACAGAAATTGCAGAAGAAGTTTTGAAATATAAGCCAATTTTACAAAATGGTAGAACTCATATTAGAAGTAATTGGGTTACAATAAAAATCACAAACTTAGTAACTTTGGAGAAACTCTGTGATAACAGCCCTGCAAGAAAAGGAAAGATAATAAATTACTAATCAATTTAATTAAAAATGGCCAGATTAGTAGTAATTAAGAAGAATTTTCCCTTTTGATCCCTGCTGTCTTTGGGAAATGGATGCTTTGCCATTATCTTTATAGTAACAGTCAGTTATGACATAAATTAATGCTAATGTTAAATCTTGACAACTTCTGCTTTGGAATTTCATGCATGATAATTATAACTATAGTTGAAAGAGATGTTATCAAGTTGTCTGGTACTAAATAGTTTCTTCTTTTTCTGTATAAAAATATTAATTTTACTATAGGATATTTTAAGGACATAAATATGGGAAATATATAGTTTTTGTGAAAGACATTGTACAACCAGGCTTTTATGGTAAAATCCATAGAGGTCCTGCATATTCTAATGAATAATTGAGTAATTATGGGAAAAACTAATCTAGAAAAGCTATAATTTTTCAAGTTATTTTCACTTGTTCTAAGAAAAATACAGAGCTACATTTTAATCCTTTAAATATTAATGAAGCATTGAAAACATTTAGATTTATTTTTATTTTAAACATTTATTTATTTAAGTTATGTGACTTTCATATTTAAGTTCATTTTTGTTTCTTTAGCTCTTTGCCCCATGCAAATATTAGAGCTAGTTTTTGACTGGGTGATTTTCTATTTTACAAGGAATTTAATTTACTGATTACTCAAAATAAGAGAGGAAAACTTGGAATAATTTATAGTGTTATAAATTTTCTGTTTTGTAGAAATTATGAAAACTAATTGAAATGTAATAAGCCTTCAGGTAACTGACAGATATATATCTCAAGCTGTTTGCAAAATTTCTGGCTTTTATGTGACTACTCTTTCTTTATTCTTTAAAATTTCTGTAATATTGAAATGTAACTTTGATTCTCAAGTAGTTTGATTTGGTATTATAGATAACCTATATTATATTCTGAAAATTCTGTAATTTTCAGATTGTGTGAGTTTTCTTTTTAAGTTACATAAACAATATGAAAGTTTTCAAAAGACATGCATAAGCATCATATTTCTATAGACAACATTTAAGTATCAACATATCATTTTTTTTTCTCCATTAGCTTGGAGCTACTTCCTCTGGCTCTAATGTCCTCTTCTTTTTTATTTCAATTTTACTTCAGTGGGATCATCTTTAAGAAACTTCTTCAGAGAGGGTACTTTCCACACCTTGTAGTTTGGAGATATTCCCATTCGGTTGGACATTTTATTTATATGTTAACTTGAATTTAGAATTTGAGGATGAAATTAATTTTTTCCTTAAATCATTGAAAGCACTGCTCACTGTCCCCTAGCCTTTTCCTGATTCTGATTTGATTTTTGTTCATCTTTATGTGACTTGTTTTTGTTCTCTGTTAACTTTTATGATTGGGTCTTTATACTTGGTGTACCACAATGTCACAATAATGCCACATTGAACATTGAGGGATTCTTCTCCTGAATCCCTTCCATAATTCCCTATTTAGTGGCATATCCCTGTCTTCTTTCCCTCATTGATGATTCATGGGCATGTAATCCTGGTGAAAATCAGTCACAACAGGTCATTCTTCTGGCTATAGTGATACGTGTTGACCAATGTTGGTCCTAATAGAAGGATGCTAGGATGATGGGTAATTGGCAGAAGATAACTCTTTCCTTACACATAGAAAGATGTATGAGTAAAACCTAGGACTTCTTTAACTTTTTATTTCATTTTTTTTAAGGAAGATTACTTGATGTCAAATCTGACACACAAAAAATATCAGAGCCAATAGAAGTACAGTATAAAGATTGTTCTGGGAAGTGCCCTTTCATTATTTGTTTGATAATTTGCTCCTTTTGATATATTCTCTGTTCCTTTTTTCTGATACTCTTACTGGTCAAATATTAGAAAATTGAATCTTCCTGTGCCTTGTCTTTTCTCACATTTTTTTCATACCTGAGTCTTTTTTGTACATTCTGCAAAAGTTACTTTTAAAAACTCTGTACTTTCTTATTGATTTTTTTTTAATTTTAGCAATTATATTTTTCAATAGTCATAAACTATTCTTATTCATTGATTGTATCTTTTTTATAATAACTTTTTTCTCTTTAGGGGCAGAATTCCTACATCCTTCTTAAAATATGATTAAGAGATATTAAGTATTATCTTTCTTCCCTGAAATATTAGTGTTTTCTCAGGGGTCTTTTTTCATGTTTTCTTTACTTTCATGCTGTAGGCTTTTCTCAGATGTCCTGGTTGCCTATTCAAATATATGAATAAGGAAAGAGGAAAGTTGACTATAAATGCTTTTGATTTAGTTTTTTTTAAGTCTTACATTTCATATTTGTTATACCTGGAGTATACCAAGCCTAACTTTGTTCCTTTCTTGATTTTATTCTCTTCCATACAAAGAGTGGATTATAGTTTCCTGTGCCGATTTATCAGTCATCATTCTTTCATCTACTTTCTGACTCAAGAAGTTAATTAAAATCCTTTAGCATTGATGGTTCCCTCTTGTTCTTGTTTTTGAGGAATTGTACCTTTGCTTTCATTTTAATGAAATCTCATGATTTAGAAACCTGTGTTAACGTCATTCTAATATATTATATTTAATATGCTTAAATTAAATTCATTTCATTTTCAGTCTTCCTTTTCTAAGTTTTGGTGTTATTCTTTTTTGTTTTGTTTTTTTCCTCTTGCAGTTTCTTATCTTCATATTGACCTTAAAATTCTTCTAGTAATTTGAATATAATAATGTATGAATAATTGCCTTTTTTTCTCTTCTTTTTTAAATGGAATATTTTCTATTGAAAGAAATATAAATAAATGACTGGTTTTATTTAAAAACTAGATTTTAATATAATGCTTTGAGGAAATATCAGTTGGCTCTTTCTTTATACTGGTTAGAATATTTTGGTTAAAGGGAAGAAAGTCACATTCAAGAAGTATTAAATGAAAAGAGAATTTATTGGCAGTAATCTAAAAGGAGGTTTGGCTTCAAGTAACTAAATATAGGACCAAAATATAAAAGTCTAATTTCTTATTTTGTTGGTTTTCTGTTTCTTTTTTAGCCTCTCCTTTCTGTTGACTCTGTTCTCAGTTGAGACCTTTATAGTTAGAGAAATGCTCCCAGTTATAAGTCTTCCTGGTTCAAATCTAGTAAGAAAAGCTCTGTTTTCTTTAATACCTCAAGACTTCCTTAACCTGGCTCTTATCATTCATGAGCCAGGCATTGTTTTAAGTAAATAATTTCATTTGACTGTGCAGGCCTTGATTATCTGCCATTTCTGTAGTGAGAGATAGAGTCAAGATTACTGGAACAACATTTTCTAGGAGCAAGGAAATCATGAATCTCCAAGTATAAATCAGGCTGGTCCTCCCTACTTGACTTTTACT